TGCAGACTTTATAAAATTCAGAAAAGTCACTAAACAAACCAACGACAACAAATAGCTATAACAACAAATTCAGATGGAGGAAATAATCTGATTTTCAGAGATGCCACTCTGTACTACTTAAAACATCCAGTTTTAGGAGGCTGGCCCTATAGCATGGTAGTTAAGTGCTGTGCACAGAAAGTTGGGTCCCACGAGGCTGACCATGGCTCAAACTCCAACCCTACAGCTTGCGGGATACAACAGGTATGTGTATGTGCATGCCCAGAATCCCAATGGGATGGAGAAATGAAAAAAAAAAAAGAACTGCAGCATGACCATGCCCCACTGGAGGGTGCTTTCTCTTTCTCTTCCTGAGGAGTACACACACCCTCTGGCAATAAAAAATAAAATGAAAGTCTAGTTTTCAACAAAAATATTATCATATATGCAAATAAACATGAAAGTATGGTTCACATATGGCTAATAAAAATGAAACAGAAACTGTCCCTGAGGCACAGTAGATGTTAGATTTAAAGACAAAGACTTGAAGTTAGCTATTTCATATATATTCAAAGAATTAAAGGAAATCATGTCTATCAAACTGAAAAAAGTATGAGAAAGATCTCTTACCAAATGGGAATGTCAATAAAAAGACAGAAATTATAGGAAACAAACAAAAATTCTGAAGTTGAAAAGTACAATAATTAAAATAAAAATTTACTAGACATTCTCAAAGGTAGATTTCAGTAGTCAGAAGAAAGAATCTGTGAATTTGAAAACAGGTTTACTGACATTATCCAGTCTGAGGAGTAGAAAGAAAGATATAATGAAGATATAATGAAGAAAAATGAACAGAGACTTAAGAGACACCCCCCCCCTCACAGGATGCCATCAAGCATACCAACCTATGTATAATAGGAGTCTCATAAATGAGAGAGAAAAAAAAATAAAGAAGAAATAATGGCCTCGAACAACTCAAATTTGATGAAAAATATTTATCTACACATCTACAAATTTCCCTAGATATATCTTAAGCAAATTGTTGAATGTTATAAACAAAGGGAGTATCTTAAAGGAGGAAAAAGAGAAGAGACTCATCATGTCCAAGAAATCCTTGATCAGATTAAGGGCTGATTTCTCACACAAACCATAAAGGTCAGAAGGCAATGGGATATCATATTCAGAGCACTGAAGGAAAAGACTGTCAACCAAGAATTCTATAACCAGTAAAGCAGTCCTTCAAAAATGAAGGAAAATATTAAGACATTCTTAGACACATAAAAATTGAGAAAATTCATCACTGGCCAACCTTCCTTAGAAAAATACTGAAGGGAGATATTTGGGCCACTGTTAATACTATGCAGAAACTTGAATCTACATAAGAAAAATAAAGAGCCCTGGTAAAGGTAACTATATAGGTAAATATAAAAATACTGATGTCAAGTAGCCAAAACAATCTTGAAAAAGTACAAAGGTGGAGACATACTTCCAGATTTTAAAACTTACTATAACTCACAGTCTCAATAATGAGGGAAATTACACAGAAAGATTCACTATACTTTAGGGAATGTAATTGAAACAATTCTTTACTAGGCCAGCAGGTGGTGTGGAAGGGCATATCCAACCTGGCCAACTCTGGTGAGTCCTGGACCCAGCAAGTAGAAAATCATGCCAGCACACATGCATGTATGTACAAAATCCTGAGAGGAGAATGGAGGAGAAGGGATTGCAGCATGGCCTTTCCCTCCTGGAGGTGATTTCTCACTTTCTGTCTCTCTGTCTCTGTCTCTCTGGCGAGTGCATGTGCCCTATAGCAAAAACAAAAACAAAGACAAAAAAATAATTCCTTACCATTTATTTAAGTGAAACAGAGATCTAGTCTAGGTGTTTGAGTATTTTGAGAAGTATTATTTTTCGGCCTCTGAAGTCTCAAGATCATTGAATGGTGAAAATATTGTTGGGATACCATCTAATTTCAGGTATGCCCCTTTCCACAGTGGAAGTATTTACTGGTTCTAAGGAGTCAGGACTACATCAGAAGCTGTCACTTCTCAATTCAGCAACCCATGTCCCACGGTTGACCCATTAATTGGAATAAATCAGTTGAAAATTCCTTATCTTACTTAAGGAGTTTTAATGATTATTGTTTCCACTCCATATACCAAACATAAAAACATTGGGACCAACAGTTAGCGTAATGGCTATGCTGCTGAACTCCCATGTACCTAACTGCGGTTTGAGTCCTGGACCCAGTGGCTTAAATTCATGCCGGGCATGTGTACATACGTGTCCAAGATCCTGAGAGGAGAATGGAGGAGAAAGGATTGCAGCATGGCCATCCACCTTGGGGGTGATTTCTTGCTTTCTATCTCTCTGTCTCTCTCTGTCTTTTTGGCAAATGCATGCGCCCAATATCAAAAACCTCTCAAAAAAAAACCCCAAAAAACAAAAAAACATTTACCCATCCTGTTCTTCCCTTTATTACACCAATCACTTTTGGTTAACCTTGATATTATGTTGTAGATTTTATTTTTTAATTTTAATTACTATTACTATTTAATTAGTACATATGTGCTCATGAGAGAGAGACAGAGACAGACAGACAGACAAAACATTCCCAATGGGGCATGGTCAACCATAATCTCTTCCCCTTGATTTCTCCGTCTTGTCAGGACTTTTTCCGACATGGTGTGCCCAGTGTGTGTTTTTAAGCTGCTGGGGCTAGGATTCCAACCATGGTTGGCCATGTGAGATCTGGTTGTCCTAACTACTAAGCTGTGTAGCCAGCCCAGATTAGTTAGTTATTTTCTAAATACCTTACAATATACACTGGGGTGTGGTCACTACTATGTCATCACATTCAAAATCAGTCAATATATATTCCTTTTCCTGAAATGTTTACTTTTAACAATTCTACTTTAGGAACTTAAGCAAGTTACTTTAGTTCTGTAGGTCTTTAAGAGAGTGGGTTGAAGTGGATTAGAGGTTTCCAAACTTTTCTTATCTTGACCCAAAGGAAGGAATATATTTTTACACCATGACAAGAGTCACACAAAAATACATATAACTGAAAAAAATTTTACAAAACCATATTTATTCTTACTAGTAAAGATACACTCATTTTTTCAACTGCTTTTAAAAATTGAGGTAAGATTCACATAACATAAATTTGAAATGTACAATTCAGTTGGTTTTAGTAGATTCAGTGTCATGCAACCATTACCACCTTCATTCTCCCAAGGGGAATGGTCATGCCACAGTTCCTTCTCATCCATTTCTCCTTCTTTTTGGGATTTTGGGCAATTATGTACATGCACTTGTCAGGTTTTTTGAGCCACTGGGTAGAGGAGTAGAACTACACAGTTAATCATGTAGAATCTAGCTGCCCTAACCACCATTCCATGGATTGACCTAACATATATATTCATGTCCACATTTTTCTCAGAGCAAAAACCTCTCACATGTCCTACTTCATATTGGCTGTGTAGAGAACACATATATTTTCTAAAAGAGATGGGAATGTATCCCAAATTTGGTACTTGAAGGTGAAAATTTTTACTAAGCACTTCTCTAATTGGCCCACAAGTTATGATCCTATAGCAAAAATCTCTCTTTTTTTTTTTTAAAAGAACTTGTTCTTGAGAAGGCAGTTATGTGATACCAAAGTCATTATAAAGTGGGAAGACAAAGTAAATTATGCATGGCAGGGCCCCAAGGAGAAAGAAAGAATAGAGAAGTGGAGAGTGATGCGAAGATTTGAAGAAAGACCCTGCCATTAATGTTTACACAAAGAAAGTTTCAATGTCTACTTAGTCAGATGGCTAGAGAGAAGGTGATTTAAACAAAATCACAGAAAAAGGGTCTCCCTTTTCTTAGAGCATACTATGCCCTGTGGCACTTTGTGTGAAAGTTATTCCTTGATCCAGTAAAAAAACAGAGAAATGAAAAATTCAAGATCTGTTGAGGATGGACCACAGTAGATCAATACCCTGAACCATCAGAGATTCAGATGATACCGGGATAACATGTGGAAATATGTAACACTCACAAGAGGTAGGATGGCTCATTGTTCAGGATAGTGTAGACAATAGCAGATCTCTTTTAGGCAGGAAATGTGGCCGAGAATCATTGCATTTGGCCAAGAAGCTGGAGGAGTGCGGTTCGGGTGAAGTTGGGGATGTGGGAAGACCTCTCATAAGGAGGAGAAAGACAGATTGCTGAATATGAGAATGGATACAGAGCATCAGGGAAACCAAGCTTGGAACATAAAGGCCAAGAGGTAATAGCTGATGTCACAAAAGCATTGTCCTAAAGATAAGCATAGTAAGTTTTAGGCTGTGTTAAGTTAAATACCAAGCAAATACCTGAGAAATCTGAGGGCTTCTATAGCCAGTAGTAATTGAGAAGAATTCATGTAAAACTTAAGAAGTAGATAACATTAGTTGGCAAAAAAAGAACACTTAGAAAGCTAGGACCCAGAAGAAAGAAGAAATAGAGAGAGTGAGCATTTTTTGAGTTTATCATGTGTCAGTCATGGTGCCAAGTGTTTTACTTTTATTTAGTACTCAAAATCACTGAAGAAAGCTGAAGATATACCCCATTTTATAGATAAGAATCTCAAGTTAATGTTGTTGGGCTGGCTGATACAAAGTGTCCCTCTGTATCAAATGAGGGACACCTTTTAACAGTAATTTAACAGAAACAGCTTTGAAAGGTTAATATGAGGCCACCCTGTTGCCTGGTAGTTGGTGGAACCAAATCCCACATGGCTGACCATACAGTTTGAATTCCAGCGGCTTGAAAAATACACCAAATGTAAGTGTGTGTTTTCAAAATCCTGGCAGGATGGAGAAATGGAGAAGAAATTGCAGTATGACCCTGTCCCTTTCAGGGGAGCTTTCTCCCTCTTTGTCACTCTGTTTCTCTCTGGCAAGCACATAGCCCTCTGGCAAACCTTTTTAAAATTTTTTAAAAAAAGTTAATATGACATAGTAAGATAAAATAAAGCCAAGAACACTTACTCTTGGGCCTGGTGCTCCAGGTGGACCCTAGAAAATAGAAAATTTTAAAAAAGTATTTATTTAGTAGACAACCAAAATCAGGCAAGCATAGACATATCAATGGTAAACCAATATACATGTAAATAAACTCACAGGAGGCCCTGGTTGACCTTTTGGCCCTTGGGGACCCTAGAAGAAAAGCAAAATATGTATACATTATGCTTTTGGTTTGGGATAAACAAGAAAATTAAGATTCAACCTTTGTCATTGCCTTTTCATGTGAGGCAAGTCATACAATTCAAAAAAGCTTTAATATTTCAAAATGATATATTCTTGCACTCAGTTATCACACCTATATTCATGAGAAAACAATATATTTACTTTTCTGTTTTATACTATTACCAGAAACTAAATTTAACCACTTGAATATGCTATTATAAATATAACATTTAAAACTGTGAATACTGTCTAAGATGCTTCTCCTGCGGTTACCATCTATTGCCCACCTAATCATCAAAGATAGAAACTTCAGTATTCTTAGACACTTCCTTTTCCTTGATTTACTTATCTATTGGTTACCAATTCCTGTTGCATTCACCTCTAAGTTTCTCCAAAATACTGCTTCTTTGTCCTCACAGCAACTGCCTTAGTTCAATGATAATCATGTACCATAGTCTGAATGTTTGAATTGGCCCCTCCCCTACGCCAGTTCAACTCTTGTAGCCCTAATCACAGTATGACAGAATTCAGAGATGGAGCACTTGGCAGGTAACTAGTTCATGAGGATGAAACCCTCATGAATGTGATTAGTGTTCTTATACGAAGAGACACAGAGGGATGATCTCTTTCTACCCTGTGAGGAAACAATAATAAGGCAGCTTTTACAAACCAGGAAGTGGGCCCTCTTTAGATACTCAGTCTGCTGGCACCTTGATCGTAGACTTTTCAGCGTCCCGAACTTCAGAAATTAATGTTTGTTTACACCATCTAGTTTAGGTTAACTTGTTATAACAGACTGAACTGACTAAGACATAATGTCTTGCATATATTCTTAGTTTGATTTCCTGACTTTATTCTTTCCACTATGCTAACTGCACTCTATTCGAAAATAAAAATTTAACAATGTCATTACTCAATTAAAATGACCCAGTGACTTTATAAAGTATAAACTTTATTTTTTACTGCATAATGGCTTAATCATACATGTTATCATCAATAATTTTCCATTTCTAGTTTCATATATATATATATGAAAAACTATATGCAATATATATTCTATATATATGCATATATGTATATATATTTTCCCCTTATTTCTCACCCTCTGCCGTTTCCCACTCTCCTCCCACACTATGTCAGTTTTCCATTCTTCCCCCCCTCATTTTGTTGATTCACAAAATTTCTTAAATAGTCTAACTACTATTCAATAGCAAGCTCAGCTGATATATACGTATTTATAAATACATGTCTGACTTTAGGCATGAAATTCTAAGTAGAATGAATATACTATAAGGTAGCACCTGGCTGATGCTATATAGCTTACTACAGTCATTAATTATGTATTTTTTACTATATTTTTTAATTTCAAGAAAAGAAGTTTTGGCT